CACCCTCTCTGTTGTACGAAGGGTCGGAGAGACCCCCCACTTCTCGCCCTTGCCGCCCCGTTGGGTTTGCAGCTCCCTGCTGGTTTCACTACAGCTTGTGTAACGGCATCGTGAGCTCACTCCTCACGGGATCCTCTGCGGGATTGGTTCTTCTCTCTCAAACGGAAGCAGGTTTACCGTGTCTGGCGCACAGCTCGGGAGCTGGGACGTGCCTTCCTAGCCTCATACAGGTGCTTAAAGCCTTTTCCTTGTATCTCTGTTGCCTGCAGGATAGTTTGTACAGTGCTGCTCAGCACTTTGCCTTGCGGCAAACGTGGTTTGTTGTAATCTTTGTTTGTAAGTTCTCTTTAATACATAGCTAGTAAGTATGTTTTTAGAGTGCATGGGCTTTACTGGGACAAAGGATGCTTGCCTGGGTCCTGAGCTGGGTGAAACCCTGCGTTTGTACCATCCTGCTGGTTTTAAGCACAGAGAAGCAAACCTCCCTGTGCGAGTCGGGAATCACAGACTGCTAAATCTTGCGCTGGAGACAATGTTTTAATGCTGGATATGTTACATCTAGCCCTGTGCATCAGTTTCTCAAGTAGCGATGGTATGAAAGATTGGAAGCTCATGGAGGAGTTTCAGGAAAGCCAGCCCTTAGCCTCTGGGTGCATCTGGCTGAGGTCTCATGGCCGAAATGCCCCAGTGATCCCCATGTGTTGGGGATCTATATGTGCTGTGACTGTGACCTTCTTCCTAAATGTGGCTGATTGCTGAAGCCTTGGATGGTCGCTCTGGCAGTGGCAGCACCCACCAGCTCCCCTTTTGTATGGGACAAAGCACTTTGCAAGGTAAGAAGGTGGTGGGCCACTGGGAGGAGATGGGAAAAGCCAAGCTGATAACAAGGATCAGAATATATGGGATGGTCTTGGAGGAGAGTCCTGCTGATCCCACAGGCAAGCAGGATGCTGCTGAGCAGTTGTTGGAGCTGTTTCCTTTTTCCTTTTAAAAATTTGAGTTGAAGATCCTGGCTAATGTCTAGTCCCTTTCTCCTGCAAATTTTAATTAAAAAAAAGAGTAAGTAAATAGCTTGTGTCTCTGACCCCGTATTAAATTCACTCTCAAAGACTTGCTTTGATTCAATCAGAAATACTTAATGACAACTTACCTGATGGGAGCTCATTCCCTTAAGGCTGGGTTGATGTTTGAGGCTGGCAGAGCCACCGAGGTGGTGGGGCCCCTGCGAAGCCGGTGCTCATCCTGTCTGGCATCAGGGGGCTGCGGAGGACGCCATCCGTGCCAGGTCATCATTAGATGTCTGGGCAGCTGTTACTGACGGAGCTGTGAATCGCTCTTGCTGCACAGGATTGCGGGATCTGCCTTGGCTGGTCATGGGCAACATGCTGACTTCAGGGGGGAGCCTGTTCTTCGTTTAACAAACTGAGATTTAAGTAAGTGCCATGAATTTCACCCCTTCTAGTCTTCCCTCAGCAAGCAAAATCATGCCTGTTTGTGATGAGTAAATGTGTTTGGTGCTGTTGTATGAAGGCTGCAGCAGGGGAGCTGGGCTTCGGACCCTGCTGTGCCACCCTCCCTGGGCACTGGCAGTCGGGGACAGCCTGTGAAAGGTACCGCAGCGCTGGCACCGCGTCTGCTGATGCTCTCCTTAAAGCCAGCTGGCTTCTTCAGCTTGCAAAGCACTTGCAATCTTATTCTCTTCAGTAGAAGTAAATTAATTGGATTCATACCTGAGACAACTTACGTAAACATTTAAACCAACTTCTCCACCAATGAGAGATTTTTTTTTTTTTTTTCCTTTGAAATCTGTCATTTGTGTCTTAGTTGAAAATCAAAGTGCCCAGTAGGTCTCTTGATGTGCTAGGCAGGACACCCCAGTAGCTGTTGTAAGGTTGTTCCATGTATCTAAAACAAGAACTGAAGGTACTTAGGTGAGAAACTTGCTAAAAAAAATGGTTTGTAGCAGCAAATTTCCTTCCAGAAGAATATGGGCTGTTGCTTGCGACACACCGCAGGCCCCATGGTGGCCTGGCTGCACTGTGCACAGGTGAGAATTACGCTGGAACAACTAACAAAGCAATAACACTAAGCATTAAATTGTGTGTTAGACGCTCAGTAGCAGCAGGAGCTCTGCCTCCCTACATAGCCGTGTCTTTGGGCCCAGTCTTTCAATGTGGTATTTTGTGGGGCGAGACTGCGTTGGGTCAGGCTCGAGGGTTTCGTGGTGCTGCGGGTGAGAAAGCCCTTCAGTCTGGGTGCAGCTGTGATTGCTGCCAGGATGCTCCACTGGGATCGGAAGGCAGAGGTGTGCTGGGGACAGCGGGAGCCGATGCCCAGGTGTCAGAAAGCAGCCATAGGTGATGGGCAGCACTGCTGGGGAAGGACAAAAGCAACTGCTGCTGCCCCTTCGGCTCACAAAAAGAGCAATCCCCAATTGAGTCGTTCCTCTGGGACTCCTGGGCTCAGAGGCTGACAGGACACTAAAGGGCTTGTTGGCAGGTTTCTCAGGAGAGGAGAGGGAGCGGGACCTTCCTCGGGACCTTGTGCTGTAGCTACGCTGCCTTCCCAAGCTTTCTGCAGGAGTGGACCTTGTAGCGGTACAGCCATCAAACGGTATTTCACAAACGTGTCTGGTTTGGTGCTTGTTCTGTAAAAAGACTGGCCTCAGCCACTTTCTTTGCTAACTCTTTTCCTTCTTTTCCAGTTAAACCCTGTCCTGGTTTTCCCTTCAGTGGCTGCAGCAGGCACTACACGTTGCACAGTTGCTACCTGGTGGCTGGAGGAAGGTAGTGGATGCGTTTTTCTCTGCTGCTTTTGTGCAAGAGGACTATGCTACTAAGGCAAGGCAGGAATCTGTTGCATATACTCATGTAAATTGTCAGAGTTATTGATGTTTTCAGTGGGTTAGCCGTCTGAAAAGGTTTTGGTTGATGTTTCAGTCACTGTGGAGGGTTAAATTATTTAAGATACAGTCCATTGCAGTTGTGGACCGCGTATTTAAGGAACTTTGTAGTAATTAAGTGTTGGGGGTTTGATGTACTTGAAATCTACTGGAAAGTAGAGCCAGGGACAAGCCCCATTACAAAGAAAAAGCACTGGTAACATAATATACTCAACATTTTATTATAAAACCCTCTAAAGCGCCACTTTATAGGTCACAGTTACAACAAAGGAAATGCCTTGAGTTAGGAAAACAATGGGGGGACAGAGACACTGTTTAACGTTTCGTGTCTGGGGAATGTGTGTTGCTTGGGATTTGCCTATGTTTACCATCCCCTGATGGCGATACCCCAGCAGGACCAGTGAATTTGACCGGGCTGTGGTGCAGAAAGCAGAGCTGCTCTCATCTATTGCTGTCTCAGTACCACTATGAAATGTCTGGACAATTTCTGGAGGACGATGGTGGGGTGTATGGTGAGGGCATGTATTGAGGGTGTAGAGAGGGTCTCCTGCCAGCTTGTCGTGGGTCAAAACAAAAGCTTCATGGTGTGTGCTTTGGAGAGGAAAGTCCCCTGGGTCCTGAACCAGGTGTTTCAGTGGTTTATTTGCATGAGTTTTTCCTGTATGCAAACCTTGCACAGGGACAGGCCTGACAGCTGGGGCTGATGAACTCCTCCTGAGGCCTGGGATTAGCAAATTCCTCCAATTTTCAAAGTAAAAATTTCTCACCTCCAGGCTCCCCTGACAGAGTGCTTTGTTGCACCCCAGATCCGTGGCAGTGGTGAGCAAGCCCAGAGCCTGTTGTGAGCACACCCTCACACGCCCCACTGCCAGCTCTGGGTGCTGCAGCCCTGCATCCCACCCCGTCTGTCGGGATTTGTGCAAAGGAGGAGCGTCCCTTTAGAGGTGGCGTCAGGCCTGTCAAAGGTTTTCAAGGGTTAGGAAGGTACAACATTTTGCCTGTCTGTGTTTACCTTGGCTCTGGGCGATGCTCATCGGTGTAGCTGCAGGACCCCAGGAACAAGCCAGCCCAGGTACCCGTGGTGCTTTGGCTTTGCAAGGTTGGAAAGCAGCTGCAGCCCCCACACAGTCAACCCTGTTCCTGAGCCTGGGCTCCAGGGCTGAAGGACCATGAGAGGAGATGGGCAGAGGTGTCTCCAGGCCATCAGACATGACAGCAGGTTACAGAGAGGAGCGGGTGCATGGATTTCTGACAGCCCCCTACCTCCATTCAAATCTCAATGTCTGTCTCCAAGTTTAGCAGTCCCAGATGTCCAACATCTTTCATTAGAAAGCTTGGCTAGGGCAGAGAGGGGTGGGCTTTGTGGGCCATACTGCCAGGGCACAGGGGCACTATATTAAGTTTAATAATTTGGAAATAAGGGTGACAGCACCCAGACAGGCAGCAGCTCACCAGAGACACAGTGGTGCAGTCTTGCATGCCAGGACTGGAGAAAAGCTCTGCCCATGTGGAGGGGACCCTTTTGCACTGGGCTGTCTTCAGCAGGTTGTACAGCTGTGGGGTTGGCTGGGCCTGCCATGGCCCTGCAGGGACCAGAGAGCATCAGCAAAGTGGTGCTCACAGCTGGGGCAGGAGCATGGGGAGCATGAGGGAATTCCTCCCCTCCCCTTGGAAAGGGCAAGCCCTGAAGGGTGCATTGGGATCCAGCTTCCCCATCCAACAGATGAGCAGGCCTGGGCCTTCCATAAATTATTAACAAACATTCAAATATAATTTTTGTTGTGTGTTTTTTTTTTTTTTCCCCCCAGAACAAAATCCTTGGGTGAAGCAGATCAAGATCTTAAAAGAAAATTAACTGAATCTGCTTGGCAGATCTTGTTTGCCCAGACCTCTTGGTGGTACCAATCTGTAACACAGCTTACAGCACAAGAAGGTGAGCAGGGATCTTTCTCACTATTCTGGCAAATCTGCAGCAGGCTGGCAGGAGTAAGCACATGCTGGGATGCGTCCAGCTACCAATTAAAAATCTCCTGGACAAGCTGCTGTGTGCTTCTCATTCATGTCTCAAGCATTGCTCAGCCCTTGACTGAAGGCTGGATGAAATGCATCTGAGTGATGACTGGCAGCAAGACAGGTGAGACTTCAGTTAACTGCAGTTTGCCACAACAGGTTCAAAACCACTGGGTTATAAAGAATAGTGGAGGCCCTTGCTGAACCCACTACTGTCACTAATATAGAAACCTTAATAACTCATTAATAAACCTTCAGAGTAGAAATACACAAAACACCCCTATGTACAGTAACATTCTTGTTTACATCAACTGGGTTAGGAATTTGATGCAAGGATTGCCACTGGTTGTTATTGTTTTAGCTATGTGATTGGGACTTGTCTGGAAAGAGCAAGATCATTTGGGATAATTCGTATTGGCAGCTGTTGATTCCATTGCTGCGTCTGAGCAGTTGGCGCAACGTGGAGGAGGCGCTTGGTGTGCGGTTGTGTTGCACACCCAACTTCCACCTACAGATGATTGAATCCCCTTAGCCATGCATGGGCAATTCCAGTCTTTAGTCCATCTCCGGAAAACATGGTTCTAACTAGCTCCCTTCTTCTCCCATTCCTGCCAAGGAATAAAGGAAATTAGTCAAAAGGCAAATCTGGCAAGCCACAGTAGCTGTAATGTGCACAGGATCAACCCGTTTTGGCTTAGGGTGGGTCGTGGATGTCTCTCTGTTACAAGCAGTACACATATTTATTTATTTAAATTGCAGCTAGGGCAAGCCCAGGTGAAAATACTGGGGGAAAACCAAGCTGGCCTGCTCGGAGTGGTGCTCGGTCAGGGGTGCTTCCCAGATACGAGACTCCCCCCACAACCTTGTCCCACCACAGCCAGGTGGCTCCACTACCAAGAGGGAAAAACTGTGGCTGTCCCAGATGAATTTTTCTCCTGTACCAATTGGCATGTTACCTTAGCTTTCTGTAGGACTGTTCCCTTCCCTGTCACCATGACGGATAAAGGCCGGTTTTTTAAAGCCGTTGCTGAGTTAACTGGTGAGTTCTCTGCACTATTTGCTGGACTGGCACTTTTTGCCTGAATCTGCAAAAAAAAAATAGAAATGGTGATGACTTCAGACTACTGAGAGACATTGCTGCCTTTCTCCACCATCTTCTAGTCACAGTCACATCCCACTTGCAGAGGCACATTTTTTTTAGTGTTATGCCAATTTTGAAACACCACTAGGCTGTGTGTGTGTTGGTGTCTTTGGGTGTTGAGGACTCAAGCAGAGGTACAGTGACCATCTCTGTTTCATGGGAACCAAACTCCCAAGAAGGAATTTAGATGCCTGAACCTCCCCTCAAAAAACATCCCTTGGCTCAGCTGAGCACAAAAGGAGCTGGCTTCAAACCTGCTCGGCCCTGGAGGGTGTTGCTCAAGGTCCCACAGGGAAATACAGCTGCTCTCCTGAGGCCCAACCCCCTTTCACCTCCACAGCTGCTGTTACCTCATGATATTTTTATTATGTTACTATTTTATGTATATTATCTAAGCATTGTGATAATTACTATGTATAAAACATAAATACAATATATGTTTATATAAGATTACATATTATAATAATATTACTATTATATTATTAAGCAGGCTGAGATAGTGCAACTCTGTACCCGGGGGGCTGCGTTCTCCAGGTGTGTGGTGTCCACCGCGGTACCCAGCGTCACGGGGCCGGACTCTGCCTTCTTCAGGTTCTCCTTCACCTCCACCAGGCTCAGCTCCAGGTCCACCCTCCGGCTCTCCTTCCTTTTGCACTCTTCTTCTATCTCCTTCAGCCTCTGCTCCAGGCTCTTGTCTGTGAAGGGAGGGGGAACTTGGGGAGCTTGGACCAGGGCCTGTCCTGTACCTTTTCCTTCTATTTTGCCCCAAGAGGGACTTTGACAGAGCAAGCTCTTGCTCTAGTGCAATACAGGCTCCATGGTTTGGCTCAAAGTGCCAGGTCTCCCCTTGTCCCTTCTGGTCCCAGGTGGGCCAGGTTCATTGCCCTGTGGTCCCACCTTGGCTCATTTCCACGCATCACCCCTTGCCCTGCTGTACCTGTGCTGCCTGCGAGCATTTCCTTCAGCTCCCGCCTCTCCTTGCGCAGCTGGGTGAGCTGAGCCCGGATTTCGTCCTTCTCCTTTTCCAGCCGCTCCTTCTCCTCTGTGAACCGCTTCACCTCTGCCTCGGTCCTGTTCTTGCCCAGCTTGGTTTCCACTGCTGCCACTGGAAACACAACCCACCAAAACAAGCTCAGCCAGGGAAAAAGCAGGAGGGAAAACCTTTTCGGGTGCTTGGAAACAAAATGAACGAGGGTCTGGAAAGACACCAACCAAGAGACTCACCAGCCCCTTGGGTACTGCAAATAGCAGTGGCAAGCTGAACCACAGGGCAAAACTTGTACCTAGAGCACCCGCTGGCCGCCTGTGCAGCCTGCTTACCTGGCAGTGGCATCTTGGGCCGGTGTGTGGGTGCTAGCTGGGGACTGCCTGCTGTCATCGTGCCTGCCGGCAGCTCCAGGGCCATCTGGGGGAAGGCGATGTTCTGCTGCTGCGTCTGGATTTTGATGGCAGGCATCTGTGGGGGTGCCTCATCAGGCTCCGGTTTCTCTGAGTGTTTCTGGGGAGAGGAAATGAAATGGGATGATGTGGTGGAGGGAACTGGCTCGCTGGTTAAGCCTGGCCCTGCACCACAGTTCAGGACAGTACCTGCTCTGAGGTCTCCTCCACCTTACTACAGAGCTCGGCTTCCTTAGCCAGGAGGGCTGTCTCAGCTGTGCTCTCTGCTGCAGCCTTGTTGGCAGCCCTTTCTAAAGACGGTGAGCCGAGGGGTGAAGGTTGGCATGACTTCTTGCCGGCACAGTGTAGGAAGGACTTCACCGGAGTAAGATCCAGGTACACTCTGTCTTGGTCTCCCTCCAATTTGCTCTCACTCTTGGGTATTTCTTCCTGCAAAAGGAGAATGTTCCCCTGAAGAGGGACCATCTGCTGCAGCCAGAAGTAAGGAACTATCTCACTGCAGCACAGAGGCATCTTACGCAATCTGGAGTATTTTCCATAAACCTTAAGGGAACAAGACCCCCATTTTCATAAGTCATTCCATACAGGGCTTTTTGATGTAGTGAAGAAGAGGCCCCTCCTGCTCTCCTTCAATAGGTCTTTCCAGTGATAGCAGCAGTCCCATGCAGGGGTCTCACAGTTGTACATCTAGCAACCCCTGCCAGATTCTTTGCCTTTCCCAGGATCACAGTCACAGCCCCAGCCTGGCCCATCTTTCTTGTCTTCACACACAGGTCTTGCTCTCACAGGCATCGAAAAGAATTTTGATAGACTGGGCTCCAAGCAACCCCCTATCGATCACCAAATAATCCATGCTGTTTGCTAATGGAAGTTGCAGGGTTTCATCCCAGCTGCTTGAGAAACCCTACAGCACCTCACTGGAAATCTCTCTCCCATTCCTTAGCAACTCCTCTCCAGCATTTGCTTCTGCCCCATTGCAAAAGCCTGGATTTCCCCAGGGGCTGGGAATCCCCTTCACTGCTAGAGGTTCCCCCTGGCCAGAGGATTGCCTGTGGTCTCTGCAGCACTCGCTGCAGCAGGGCTGCCTGTGGCACTGAGCATCTTACCGCAGGCAGGTCTGGCAGATCCACGTCGTCATACAGCTCCTCCTGCTGCATCCTGCCCTTTGGCAGGTTGTCGATATAGGCGTTGGGCTCGGAGTACTTCCTCTGCATTAAGCTGTGAACAGGCAGCAGGACATCCCATCAGAAAGGATCGGTCTCACTGCATGACTGCACTGTGCTCAATTTTGGGGCATCTGAACACAGTGGTCCTGGGGCCAGGGCAGGGCCAGATGGCCGGACGCAGGAGATGAGAAGGTAGAGCCATGCAGCAACGTGATCACTGCTTCCATTGTCCATTAAGCAGCACCCACCAGAGAGGGGCTGCATTTCCCTGCGGCCCTTTCCTTTCTCGCCCAGCCCTTGGGCACGGCACCGCAGCAGCACAACCGCCCTGCCCAGTGGCATGGCAGCTCTGTGAGCAGCACGGTTCGGTGCCTGCGGCCCCACACCCCCAGCCAAGCCCACCCCCCCAACCTGCCACTGCGAAGGCCACCTGGGCACATGCCCCTAGCCCCATGGCAGCTGTGGCTCAGGTTAGACATGTCACGGTGGGACAACAGCAGCTACTCTTCTGTCCCACACTGCACTTCAAAGAAAGCGATCAGCAGCCAGGAGTGAATATACCACCTAACCCTGTGCCAGCCAACCTCTCGCAAGTGGAGAGACCCCACCACTCCAGCTTGCTTCCCCTCCACCAGTCCCTGCAGCCCCACGTTACCGCTGACGTACAAGAAGGAGTTCTTCGCAGCGCTGACAATGCAGGAAACCCGGTCAGCATCCACGTAATCGTAGGTAAATTCCTCCGGGTCTGTTTTCGAACCTGACTCCGACAAGAGGAGGCCCAGCCAGTGGCCCATTTCCTCCGAGGACTTCGCCTACGAGATGATTGGACAGTACAGGTTGCAACAGCAGCTTCTCTGCACTCCCAAGGCTAATGCTGTCGTTAAAGCCTTGGGTACGAAACTATGCTGGCAGTCCTCTGGGCTTGCAAGGGGAGAGATGAAGGGCCAGGTATTTATATTAAACTGGAGACCACATTAAAAGAAGAAAGAAGTACTGCTTTGTGTATGGACTGATTGATTCACAAATTTGGAAGATAGAAGACGGCAGCTCTGTGCTTAACTGCTTTCTAACATTTCTACTCGGTCTGCATTTTCCTTTCAATGATGATCAACTCGGCTGCCTACAAGAATAAGAGCAGTCTCCGTGGCTGGACATGCTGGTGCGGGTTTTGTTTTGCACCAGCAGAGCGCAGCAATGGGATTGCCAAACACCGACATGCAAGGAGACCCGAGCACACCAGGGAGCCTGTGAGTTCCTTACGCCAGAGCCCAAACCCCTTCCGGGGCTGTTTGCACACAGGAGAAGGGAAGAGGAGAGTTTAAAGAGGGATCAGGGAAGAACTTCAAGGAGAGTCCCTCAGTTTAACATGGTCAATACCAAATTCTCAGCTGCAGTTAACAATCTGACATTTTGCAAAATTAAGAGTTAAATACGGTGCCTCAAAGTCAGCTCTAGTAAGTGGCCACATGCACTCCCCAGTAGTGGGGGTTTTCTGCCTGAAGCAAAAAGTGGGCCCATGCAGACATCTTTACATCTTCTGCTTTGATTTGAGGAGTTAGAGCAGTAAGCACAGTAAGGGCAAGTGAATCCCAAACTGGAAAGTATATTTTAAGCTTCCAATCTGTTTTATTTAGCAGAGACTTCAGTCCCTGGGAAGCCAGCCAGCCAGTCTGTACATTGAGTCTGACATCCCAACAAAATACAGATTCTTAAATTTACAAAATGTAAATTTTCCCAGCACCTCCTCTTCACATCTGTAATTCAGCAAAATTTCTTAAGACACAGACATACCCTGAATCAGAAGCTAAACAAAAACACCTTCCAACTTCATGGCAGGCACTCAAAGTCAGTTGTTTAGCTATAAATATTCCACCCACTGGAAAAATACAGGAAATTGCTCACATTGTCCACCTCCTACTATAATCATGCTGTCGTCAGAGAGAACTAAGATTAGAGATAAACAGTCCTGGATGCAGGCAAAGGAAAGTAACAGATGGAGATGAATTCACTTGCACTTTCAGGGGCAGATCTGTGATTGGTTTACTTGGGATGCATGACCCATGGCTTTGGGACTCTCCATTTTCAGAAGACGAAGTTCTCTATTCCTCTTAACCACAGACTTAAATCCCTAAAGTGGCATTCCTCTCACCTAACATTAACCATCTGAAAAGCATCCCATATAACTTAATCATCCAAGCTTACACTATAGTCAGTGGAGAGAGATGGGCACCTCCAGAGGACCCTTCATCCCATCCTAAGATGAGTGCCCAAGATGAAGGCTAAATGGTCCTCTCGAGGCACTAGCATCAGACAGAGCCTGGATTACCAGCTAGGTGACACTTTCTAGGTGACCACAGGCAGATGAACTGAGGTCCCATGCTTCAGGCTCTGTTTGCTGGACTGAGGGTTCCTTTGAAGGACCTCACCGGCATTTAGGCCTGCTAAGACACCCAAGCTGATGACTTAAAGCAGAGCTTGCTTGCAGATATACACCCTACCTCCAGAATAACTCGTTCTTCCCCATTGTGCAGGATGCGGAAGGAGTAGAGATGATCAGGGCTTGGCTCTGGGATAACTTCACAACCTGCCAAACTCAGGGGTTGCTGAGCCAGTTTGCTTCGGTTCTTGTCCTGGTAGAAATGGAGGTGGCCATCTTTTATCTGACACCAGCGGGACTTCCACTGGCTGTTCACTAACACATTGAGGTAACCTGCAAGCAAGCACAGGTTTCTTAGGCATATTTCCCACTCCACAAGGAGAAGGAATCCAAACTCACTTTTGTGCATGGGGATGTCTGATGATTAAGTTCTGAGATCACAACACAAAGCCACAGGTAACGACAAAGAGCAAAAGCACAAAAACAAGCTGTCCTGTCTGTATGAAACAGGGTGGAAAAGGGTAAAAATGTGTTTGAAGTGAGACCCTTGAAATTCAGGTTAGGCTTGGAGCAGCAAGTTGGCTGCAGACGGTTGGACAAAGCTGGTCCCAGATGGTGAATACCAGCTGGCCCACAACCTTCTCCCTGCTGACTCCCACACCCTGGGCTGACGCCCAGAAAGAGCAGCACAGATGCCCTCTGCGTGCATGGCTGGCATTACCTGCCCTTCCTCTTGGGTCATGTTTGAGAAGGATGATGCCTGGTGCTCATCCTGCCCTGCACACAGAGATCCAGCCCTGAAAAGAGTCCCTGCAGAGGGTCTCATGCTCCCACTTACTGGAAGTCTCCAGGGATCTCTCTGGGCTATCCAGGGAGCTGGATTTTTTCCTCCCGAGGTTCATCAGGTTGCTCAGTTTCAGGCCAGTTGTGCCCTTCTTCTTAACTACCAGAAAAGAAAAATAAAAAGACGTATCTGTGGCTTTCTCAACTCATAGCCAGATGCACAGCCCACTGTCCCAGCCAGGTGTCCTGCCCCAAAGCGACCTCCACTGCCATCCTGCACCCAACAGTGCTGCGGCACACACATCCCTTGCAGAGGGCAAACTGCAACTCAGGGACAGGCTGTAATAGTCCAAAGCCCAGGGAGATGATGGGCACGCAGCACAAATAATCTCAGTTAAGAGATGTGCCCAAAACTTAACCCATATTGCTTTATACTTGGGTTAGTGCTGACCAAACGCCAGTTGCTGCTGGAGCTGTGGGAAGGCTGTTTGCACAGGTCTTGTTGTGCAGTTGCAAACTGCCCTTCACTTTCTTACACTACAAAAATTTAATTAAAAGTCATTACCTATAAATATTTATGGCCTTCAAGTCTTTTCCTTTCTAAAAGAGGGACCCAGAGTGGAGAGGGGGAAAGCTTATGCCCAAAGAAGCTCTTCAGCATTTTCCCCCCAAGCATATCAGTCAGTGCATGAATATATGGCTGTGTAACCATCAGGGAATCCTGATAAGAAATCAAGTTGGATGTTTTTAGTCCAGATTTTCATTTTCTCTAGCATAACAAAATTATGAAGTCCTAATGTAGAGGCATTGAGGAGCTGAGCTCCATCTGTTGTGTGACTCCAGTGAGTCCTCAGCATGGATTTCTCTTTCTCCCCAATATGTAGATGGGTCCCACCACTCTTCTAACAGAGCATCTCCTCTTACAATGTACTTACCTGACCCATCTTATAGATGGAGAATGGAGCTTAAAGCCCCAAGTTGGATGCCCTAGTGTGAAGGTATAACTCTCCCACTTGGAGACAGCTCAGCATTTCACAAAGGTACTCCAACTTCTCTGCAGAGATCTCTGAGGAAAGTCACTTTGGTTGGATTTATGCCATTTCAAACTGTCCCAAAGTGACTTGCCCAGCGTCATGCAGGATTGGTGTGCTATGGCAGGTATCACACCCAAGTTTCTCAAGCCCTAGCCTAACTCTGTAACTGCTGAGAAACCCCAATATTCACCCATCACTTTATTATGGAGAAAAAAGCAATGAAATTAAATTCACCAGCAGTGAATTCACACACAGCTTTCACCCTGCATCAGGTCAGTTTGGGGTGGCAGTGGCAGGAGATGTTACAGAAACCCTTGCTCACATGCTGGGTCAATGGCCTGGTTTCCCCCTCATCCCCAGGATGAAGTTTTACCATCTTTTATCTCAGCTGTCTCTGGGTGGCCATCCGTGCTGCTCCCGCTCTCGGAGGCTGCTGAGTACCTCTCGGGCACCTCCACCTGTCAACAAGCACCAGACACCAGCTCCACAGATGCATGTGATCTGTTCCTCCTGCCAGCACCTGCCACAAGTGCCTGCCCCTCCACCCTCCTAAATGACAAGGTCCATAGAAGATGCTTTCACCCAGATATCCCCTGCCCACCCACTCATGCTGTGCCCTCCCTGTTGTTTCTGAGCCTGGCATGGGCAGATCCAGCACACAAACCGCCCTGGCTGGGCTTGCCTCTGAGGTGACATGGTGGCAGCACTGGTGCCACCATATGGCCTCCTGCCCTGCAGCCTGGCTGGTGGTCCCCATAGAGGAGCACAGGCAGAGGAACTGGTCAGGTGCCCAAACACATCCATTTTGTGTGTCCATCAGCGACTTAGGAAGGTTTATTTCTCCTGCCACTGTTTTGGAACAAGCTGACCCCTGGGGAGTGTCACCTAAACCTAGACTAAAGATTGGCCCAAACCCTGGCATCCAAGGGTCTATGTCCCTTCCAAAGCTCTTGGTGAGCACAACTGCCGTGTTGGATGAGATAGTGTTGCTGCCTTGTACGGAGGAAAGACCAATGCTGTGTGAGTTTTGGGGAAAAGATGTGGCAACAAAATTAAGATTGCAAAGGAAAAGTAAGATTGTTCCAATAAATGCTTCTTTTCAGCAGAAGAGGGATCTGGTTACATTCACATCACTCTTTGCTCAGATAAAATTACTGCACCTACAACTATTATTTATTAAAGGAACAAGGTGGAAAAGCCCAAGTGTTAGTGCTCTCTGTAAAGACAAGGTGTACCTTTGTGTAACTGAGACGCTGTGAATCTGGGATGTACTGGTTGCCTTCACTGCCTCCTTCACATAGCAGACCACTGGTCTCCTGGATTACCTATGCAGACGGGAAGCCATACCCTGTGAGAGTGCTGCAGTAACAGGATCAATACTTCTCCCCCACCCAGGACAGGCAAAACCACAGCAGCCCAGGAGACCTATGGTTTTATGCTCCCTGCGATCCCAAGGACTTTCGTGGTGTTGCAGCAGGCAGCCAGCAGAAACTGTTGGATCCAAGTCAGCTGGGGAGAGGCTGCCAGCAAAGGCAGCCCCAGCACCTCACAGCCCCGCTGCCACCCCGGGCTCTGCAAATGTTCATCCTGCTGCTGCCATCTCAGGGAAAGGGCCACATCTCCCCCTGTCCTCAGCCAATTCATGCTGGGCACCCACCCGAGGCATCCCTCCTGCAGCAGCAGCTAAGCTGGGAGGTCCCTCCATGGCCTCTCACATGCAGAAGGCAGCAGAGGGCTGCAGGAAAAAGCTATCCTGGGACATGAATATAAAATGGTGTATTTGTATATGGGCTTGCAGCAGAGCATGGAAGGACAGGACTGACATAAGACACGGTCTCCCGGCAAAGCCAGCATAGAAACATGGGAGCACCAGTGGGGCAAGCCCTGAAGGTGCCACTGACCCTGAGCCACTGCTCTGCCTGGTCTTTACTCTGCAGCCCCAGCACGATGACATCGGCATTCATGGGGATGATCTTCAGCTTGTGCTCTTTCTTCCTCACTTGCTTTTCCTTGTGAATCACAGTGCAACCCAGCAGATTCACATCGAGCTGAGGGCTGTGATCTTTGGAGCTCTTGTAGCACTGGGGAAGGAAGATGGGAGGGCAGGTAAGAAGCTGAGATGGAGCCTTCCCTCTTGCTCACTGGCATGAACTCAACCCTAGAAGTAGCTCAGTGCAACCACACACATTAAGTACACTGAACACAAGAAGGTCCTATAGGTCCTACAAGGCCGCAATATCTACACAGACTACACACAGGACACCTCCATATGTATAGAGATACACATACATATATGTACATGCATATATAGTCTGAAATACCTCTCACAGACACTGCTAGAGGGTCGAGTATATGGTTAGCCAGTGGGATAAGCATCCCTTCTGCTTAAGCACCTCAAAAAGTTTCCCCAAAAAACATCTCTATGCATTTTGGGAGTTTGGGTTTTTGGCCACAGATGTGCCCTCGTGCTCCCCTCAGCAGCCCCATGCCCAAATGGAATGAGATCCCCAAATCCCTGGGACATGGTTTTTGAAGCATTGCTTCTAGAGGTACTTTGGTTTTACCAGCTAGTTAATGTAGCCTGAGGTGCCACTTCCCTCCCCAGCTCATGAAAATACGCAGAGAGTTTTAAGCAGAGAGTGGAGCATCTACCCACCAGCAACCTGGTATCCTTGATAACACACAGCTGTTTTGCCCACTGTCCCAGCCACTTCTTTCTCCACAGGAATGCACAGATGCGAGCATCCTTCATCAGCTCAATGGTGGCCTCTGTGGATGGCCACTGATGGGTTGCTGACTTGCCTTTGCTGCTCTCTTCTTCATCATAAGATTCATAGGAGCTACTAATGGCTTCACCATCTTCTACAACAAAAGCAAAGCTCTATTAGTGAATACATTTCTAGGACAACTCTGAGCCTATTGCTTGCTTTGGCCATGCTCAAACATGCAAAAGCTTCCAGTGTAGGGACATGTCTTTTGAGGTTCTCCTACAAGAGGATAATCAATAGGAAAATAACCCCCATAGATAATTTCCATAGATAATTTTTTCTCTGTAGCCCAATATTAATCTCATTGCAATGTTTTGTGCCCAATAGTCTCAGAAAACACTCAAAAGACACTTCTCAGTTGACCACGAATTCCAGAACATCTCCTTAGACATTTTCTGATGTTTGCTGCTGTTTTTCTCCCCGAAGATGCTTTTTCTACTTTCCATTTCAAGCCACTCACAATTTTTAAGGCAACAGCAAGCTACAATCAGCCCTTGTCCTTTGAATGTCAGAAGTAAAAATGGTATTTGTGAGGCCATGCAGCAAGCAATGATCTATGGTATTGGAGATGTCATTCCACTTTCCCTCTCTGGGCTAACAGGTCTCTGGCTCTACTCAGTATCTAAGAGACAGCAAGGGGCTTTGAAGTAATACATTGTCGCAGCAGCAAAAATTAGTCATAAGTGGCAGCTGTAAATAACAGTAATCACATTTTTCATGTTCAGTCTTAAATAGATCGCTACTTTATTAGGATGAGTTTGGATTTTCAATAGCCAGTTTTCATGTATTGTAGGTTATCGGCCTTTTCAGCTGATAAGAACAGCTGGCCATTGGTACCAGATTCATCAGAAACTGTGAAAATGTTCCCACTGACTTCAAGGGAATTTGCAATGCTCTGCTGGTGTTTACAGTATGGCTCTTATTCACAAGGTAAGCTCACGTAGCCAGAGGGCAAGATTTGGGCAGCATCTGTGTAGCATCTTGTCCCACCAAACAGCACAGAGGAATATCGTTAAGTTTCTCTCACCAGAATTTCATCTAATTTTGACCCTCATCAAATCTTAATATCCACATAAAAGTAACATTATTGGATTGGTACAAAATAAAAAAAGCAGCCAGGAAAACAGAGGGGGGAAAAAAAAGCATTAGGAGCTTCACTGAAGAACATTGGTTAAGTTGGGTTTATTTGTTCTTAAAATAAAAGGAACTGAGATGCAGTAACAAAGCTGCACAGGTACAGCCTTACCCCCACAGTCTCCTCTGGTGAAATCTCACACTATAAAATCCCTCAAGTGATCAAAGCTGCACCAATTAAACAGGCTTACTAAAAAGCAAATACTCCCTTTCAAAGTCTCTGAACGGTGCTGACAGCATACTGCTGGCTCACCATCTCCATACCCTCAAAATAACAGACAGTTCATGTTTTATGGGAAAAATGACCCTACAATGCATTATCAATATATTTGCAGACTTTGTCCACAGGCACCTGGGCAGAAATTCAGATGGACCAAAAACGACAAGGGTCCTTGTCCCTTGAAATACCAAGAAGCTGAACCTCTGCACTGCTGGGGTCCTTCCTTACGCAGCAGCAGCAAGCATGCCTAAGGGAACTCCATCTTCTAAATCTCCCTCCTTATCAACATGAGGTTATCGCTACCTGCCCCTCTTGTTTTTGGGTGTCTCTGGTGCCCCTCACCTAAGTGTTAGGCCTCAAGCTGACACATTTCTTCCATGCTTTTAGCGGGAGCCCTGGCCGCTCTTTTGTGCATCAACCGCAGCCACAAGTGCCTCATGAGATGAAGTCTTCCCTACTTGAAGAGCTACAGCTGTTGCTGGCCGGGTGACACTGCTACAGCCTCACAGTGGAAAGGCATTTTCCAGGCTGCGTAGCTGGCAAACGGGGACAAACCTTGCTTGGGTGACTTGAGACAACACTGTCATGACGTCTAGGGCTCACTTGATCCCAAGTCATACCGCTCAAGTACTTCAGTACAAGGTCTCCATTTCCACGTACTGGCGGTTTCAGCTAAGAGCACAGTTTTATCCTCTCATTGAGGTGACATCAATGGCAGCCATGTTCTGGGATGTCCTTATCTAGATCCACCCCTGCTTTCCTGTTTGTCTGCCCATGACCTCCCAGGGAGCTAAATCAATACTGTGATGCAGGAAGCTCCAACCACCTTGTATGCCAAATCTCCCTCTGCCCAAGTACAGCACCTTCAACATTCGCTGAAGGGCTACTTGTCAATACAGCCAGCGTTACCACATATCGGCTCCACATCAGTGGCCAGAACCAGCAGAATAAAGGCCAGGGAAGCTCTCTTCATTGTCATCTTGAGCATGGGGAAAGGCACAAAACATGCTGCCTTGCGTATATCCAGCACGAGCAGAGAGAAGGGAGAGGTGGTTACCCTCCATGCATGTAATGGGCAATGCCAGGGGGAGGCACCTGATCATCTTGCTAAAACTGAGTTGGTTTTGTGGTGTGAGTGGTTTTTTTTTTTTGTTTTGTTAAAGAAAGGGAGGGGGGCACTTCAGGTTTGGAAAGCATGCCATACCCATCGTTATTGTGGCATAAATAACGCCCTCAGTAACCTGCAACCCTGGCCTGGGTCCAGCCGCAGCAAGCCTACCAAAAAGACCTGCACAGTCAAAAGCAAAGAGAAAGGAGACAAAGAGAAAAAGCCAGAGATAAGCAAACGCAGACAAGGGTGTCAGTCCGGCCCAGCCCCATGTTGCCCCTGCAGCCGGTGAGGCTGCCCTGTCCCCACTGCCACAGAGGAGCACATTGTATGGCGAGACTTCAAACACAGACAACGTTTTCAACCCACCCCCTGGAACAAGGCGATTTCTTTTTTAAAACAAAATCATCATAATTGTAATTAAAATCAGCCAGGGCAGATGAGCTGTTTCAGCCAGAACAATTACTGCAGTCACGTCGCCCCTTTCGTTTTCACTCCATTTCTTATCGCGCCCTTCAATTATGCAAACGCAGACGAGGACGAGGATGGTAATGGTTTAACACATTTCAGGCCAGGAGCAAAGAGAAGCAGCAGCATTTGTTGGAGCTGTAAAATGAAAGGCAGAGGTGTCCCCAAAAGAGAGGTGGGAATCCTGCTGATGAAAGAAGAACCCCGAGAGCCAGCAGTCTTGCCTGCCCGCTTAATTTTAATTAATTCACCCACGGTTTGTTAGAGTGCCTCACAGTCCCACCTATGACGCTGCATGAATCCTCTATCTCCTCAGCCCATCTGGAGGCTTGCTTTGATGTCCTTTCTTGGCAGTGCACTCGCTATTTTTAGTGATGTTCCTATTTTTGTTTGATTTCACTACACCCATTTGTTTGGAGACGCATGGGTGTCTTCCAAGGCTCACGCTGTAATTCTGGCAGAAACACCACCAGCAGCTCCCTGGACCTCTGGCTCCTTCCCTGCCCAGCTTGTGGGGAGAGGGGGCTGAGCACAGAGGGCCTGGGAGGTTACTGGGGTCAGGCTTTAGCATCTTTGGCCAGGGCAAACCCACGCATGTCCAGACCAGCCTTTAGCAACACAAGTCACACCAAGGTCTCAAGACAGTTGCTAGCAATGAGCACAGGACCATAGAACCATAGAATAGTTTGGGTTGGAAGGGACCTTTAAAGGTCATCTAGCCCAACCTCCCTGCAATGAGCAGGGACATCTTCAACTAGGTCAGGTTGCTCAGAGCCCCGTCCAACCTGCCCTGAAATGTTTCCAGGGATTGGACATCTACGACCTCTCTGAGCAACCTGTGCCAGGGTTTCACCACTCTCAGTGGGAAAAATTTCTTCCATGTATCTGGTCTGTATCTCCCCTCTTTTACTTTAAAACCACTACCCCTTGTCCTATCGCTACAGGCCCTGCTAAAAAGTCTGTCCCCACCTTTCTTTAAGCCCCCTTTAAGCTCTGGAAGGCTGCGACAGGACAGGTACAGGGTACTCTTGCCACCTGATAGGCGAGGGGAGGAAAAAGGGATGAGGGGCCCAGTTTTGTACTCATTGAAGCAACGGGCAGGACCGAGACCTGCAGGTTTGCCCACGTGCCATGGGATTTGATGCCTGATCTCTCGAGGCAAACCGGGGCACCAGGGCACCAGCAGCTCCCC